AAAAAAAAAAAAAAAAAAAAAAAAAAAAAAAAAAAAAAAAAAAAAAAAAAAAAAAAAAAAAAAAAAAAAAAAAAAAAAAAAAAAAAAAAGAGGGGTGAGGGATGTGAAGAAAAAAAATCTAATATGATTAAAGCAGGATTTGGGCACAGGCAGAGAGCTGCCGAGGGTGGTGGGTATTAGCAGTAACAGCTGCCGCGCTTCCCATTAGAGGAGCAGGCGAGGAAGGTCCCTGAAAGGATGGGTCTCCGGCTGCCTGGCAGGGCAGTGGTGGCAGCGAGCCCGGCARCGAACGTGTCCCAAGGTAAGCGCCGGCGGCACCGGCAGCCTGAGCCCGGGCAGCCCCGGGGAGCAGCGCTGCTTTCCCGGCCGGGATGGGAACGGGAGGGCTGGGGCTGAGAYGGGAAACGGCACAGCGGGGGCAACACCCAAGGGAAAGAGCTGCTGCTCGGGGCTACTGCCATGAACTCCTTGAGAAATCCCACCCAACAAGGGAGGTTTAAGTGTGCCCGGAGGGAAGGCTGACTCCAAGAAGAGGAGGCATCCTGCCGCTGGTCCAGCAGGGCTGGGAGAGTTAGCAAAGGCTCCCGTGACTCCCACAACATCTTCTGGCTCACAACTGGTTGGAGTGGCAGGATGCTTGGCTGTGGATGGTTAAACTGCATCCATCTACTTGCTGCTTCACGCTGGGCATGAGCTGTTTCGCATGCAGTAGCATTYCATTAATCCGCTGGCAAGTTTCAGAAGTGTTTGAGAGGGAGGTATAAGCTAGACCTCCTCAGCCTCTGTTTCCTCTGATTTATTACATTTACTCATTGACTAAGTGTAATGACATCTAAGGCAGGAAAAGCTGCATATTGGAAAGATGTTAGAAAGTGCTACATTAAAATCAGAAGTACCTGCATTAAAATATCCACACACTCACCCTTCAGCTTCACTTTGAAAAGCACATTTTGAAAATRGCACAATACACTGGTTAATCTGGAATGTGTTTTGAGCTGCCACTGTAGGGACACAGGCACTCTGACAGTGGGCAGGGACAGGCTCTGCCCCATGCACCAGCCCCACATGCAATGGGCCCTGCAGCAGCTCTGCAGATCCAAGGGGCAGATGTTTCCTGCATTGATCAGACTGTAATTTGGGCTGGGAATGGTGAAGGGTGCTGAGTGTGGCTGTGCAGAGTCTACTCCTTCTCCTAACACCCACAAGACTTTTTAGAGCAAATCTTCMCCGACTGCTCCCTCCGTGGGCAACTTCACAAGGAATACATCCTGTTGTGGGGCCTCTTCCCTCTCCCAGCCTCAACAATTTACTTCTGAATGCTGTGGATTCCTAAAATGGCTCCAGGTGCCACAGAGATCACTTAYTCCCTTTTGTTTAAAGCCAGCGGGGAGGGTAGCTCTGGAGGGCAGATAAATCAATGGCACCATTTGGRAAGCCACTGCTTTGAAGTGAAACTCCATGTTGTTTCCTGCTGTAGGATGGAGGATGGCAGGAGAGCCCACACTGCCATTATTGGCTGGGCCTGCACCACCCTGTGCTTGGTCTCCTGTGCAGCCGCCTTCTCGCACGGCGCGAGCCTTTCTGCCTGCACTGACATGATGCCCAGGCACCTCAGGGTGCAGCTGCACAGCTCCAACAACAACTATGTCACTGTCCACACCAACATGTCCTTCTACKTCCCAGGAGACAAGGTTCCAGGTAAGGAACAGCTTCTCATTACTGCATCTGAAAAATACACAATAACTAATTTCAAGTAGTGGGGCTAATCTCTGTGAGGTCTGGGAAGAGGGATAACAGCACTGAGTGAGCTACAACACCTCTCTTGTCATTAGGACATAATTTACAGAGGATTTCTGTTTGCAGCATGGGTGCTTTGGGTGGGCTTGATTTATCTCAACTGTGTCTCAACAATACCAGAGCTCATTACATGCAATGGCACATGAGAGACACCTCCAGAGGGTAAAAAGTCACCTTCCCAGCCCCTTTGCACCACTCCAAGGGGTCTGGGTGACTTACCTGATTCTTGAGCATGGTTGGCAGCATTCCCCATCCCTGGAATTGCTGCTCCTGAGGCWGCTGCAGACAGAGCTGAGAGGCACCATTCCCCAGCTTGGCCACTTGCTTGTTCATCCCTGTGCAAAACAAAACCCCTCTGAGAGCAGAATATGAGCTTTTGTGTACATACAGAGTGGAGTCCAAACCTGCTTCCTCAAAAATGGCTGCCTGCTGCCTAATCCAACGTGGCTAACAGCTTACCATCAAGGASGGATGGGGGCGAAGATTGAGGCAAATTCTGTGTGCAACTACACACTGCAAAACCAAAGGTAAAAGTCTCTGGCCTTCTCTATCCAGCATGTCCAAGACAGACTGTGAGGACAAAGACAGTAAGGTGTTTTCAGTAGTATTACCCAAAGTTTTCTTTTGGATTCAATGCTGCCTCTGGAAACTCCATTGCAGGCAATTCACTCCATAACAGCAAGACAAATCCCTTCCTGTCCCATGTTTTGTCTTCCAGTGACAGTGAGAAGCACCAGGGATTACATGGGCTTTATGCTGCAAGCTCGCAAAGTGTCCAACAATGAAATTGCTGGCACATTCATCTTCCTGCCTCCTGGTTCCAAGCTGCTGACTTGTTTTGAAGATGGTGACACTGTCACCCACTCAGACAAGTCATTGAAGAGAAACCTGTCCTTTGTATGGAAAGCACCAGACCAGCCCATTGGAGACATCAAGTTTTTGTAAGGACATGCTGGTTGCTAATCAGAATTTGTGTCTTCTCAGTTAAAGGCTTGGCTTTTTGTTTCCATCTGACAGGTGGTTTATGTACCGTGAACCCAACATACCTGAATACTTACCAAATRCTGCAACAATATCATACCTGGCACATAAATCACCATTAATATCTGCTGGGTAGTGTTGCTTTTTATTTACATGGTCACTATTTTCTCAGAATAGATACACTGGAAGATGACAGCTTAAGCATGTAGAAATATTAAGGCATAAAGGGAGAACTGTGACCATGCTGCCTGTCTGTAATTAACACAGCCTATACGACTTCCCTGCCTACAGGATAATCTTGTATATTACATCTTAAATAAAAGGGTAGTTTTAAGAAAAGTTAAATGTAAACAGAATTATTCACAATAGAAAGAGAATGAGCACTGTGCCAAAACTTAACATCTCTATTTTGCACCAAAGTTCAAAACTGTCCAAATAGTTTGTTCCTGAATTTTGGAAGTTTGGTAGTTTGGAATGAAATTAAACATCTTCTAATTGACTGCCTTAGAGAAAGCACAGTGGCTTTTCATTTCAAAAGAGATTAAATTGTTATATTTTGTTTTCACAAAACCACTTAGAAACTGCTTGGCCAGATCCTTAGTTGCTTCCCAAAACATGACTTTCCTGGGGAGTGCTGTGGCTTCAGCATCTCATTGTGATTCAAGAAAAATTAATTGAAACAGAAATATTGCTGCCTGGAATTTCCAATTTTTTTGCCATTGCTTTTGCTCAGAAAATACTTTTAAAGTTTAAAACAATACTATTAACCTAAATGAACCCAAACAAACCCCAACAAGACCTAGTCCTAGCCACCCACTCAGACACTTCCTTCACACTCTGGCTTTTGACCCTCCAAACCGATTTCTGATAGATTCTCCCTTTTTGCCCTGTTAGGCTTAAAAATGCTTTGTAAGAGTCATCTGGTACTGGAAAACCCAGGTTGGTTTCCCCTTAGCTAATTCTCAGAATCAGCTGAGCCATCTGAGCTGAAATTCTCCCAAAATCTCCAGTTTAAATAAGAGTCTCTGGGTGAAGTTAAAGGTTGGCCAATGCAATTTTGGCRCCTGACAAAAAGCAGATGATTAGGCAGGCTCAAATATCAGAGGGCTGAGAGGAGAGACTTTTTCTTCCCCTTACCTATTCTGCTGTTTGTACAAGTAACATTGGCTTGTTTTAATTAGTAAATACCACTGTTGTTTCCCTGCCTACAGAAGATTATAAGCAGAGCCAGTCCAAGTWTTACAAATGTACTTCTATCAACACGATGAATGTAATACAGCTTTTAATTTTTTTTTTTTTAATTTAAGATCCTACACATTTTTTGACTGATCTTAATTATGAGTGGTGATTCTTCACCCTGAATCCTTCTWACGGGTCATGGTATCTTTTATTTGTAATAGAAAATGTATGACAGGCTAATCCTTTAAAACACTTTTGCGTTGGTTCTCTCTTCAGATGAAAGCAGTCTTTGTGATTAGCTAAACAGTCAGATGTTTTATTAATGCTATAGAGCCAGTAAATTCTTGCCTGATTATGTTTTAACAGCATCTCCATAGTCCAGTCATACTTYGTTTATTGGGCAAAGATTGAATCTGCTGTTGTGGCTCAGGGAGGGCAAAACAAGACTCTCRCTGACAAGAAGCCTGGTACCATTGCCCCAGCGCCCTCACAAGGACTGGCTGAACCTCACCCCACAGGTATGGCGAGCAAAGCTCCAGGTTTCTTACCAACATCCCCTGCAGAGTAATTTTACAGCTTATTCTGGGCAAGAGTTGAACTCTTGTGGCTGTCAAGGAGATCAGTGATGGCCATAGTGAGCTCCTTGGAGTGAGGGTGTGGGTCAGGATTTGAGGTGATAGAGCCAGTTCCAAGGAGGGCACAAGAAAATTAAATGAGGTTGCCAATTCTTAGGATTTCAATGCAAACCTTAAAACACTTTACCTGAAATCTYAGCTCTTGAAGAGAAGGAAGTGTAATTAGCAATATTGCTTAAACAGAGGAACGTATTTGTCTTTACTGCCCTCCAGGTACATGGTTCATTGTATTTATGCAGCCTTTGGTCAGTAAGCTGCTCCAATAATTTATTTATACYCAATTCAGATGGATTTCTCAGCATTTTTGGCTTGGCACCGGAGCTGAGTTAATTATTTTACTTGATCATTACATAGGCAGCAAGTGTTGCTGCTTTAATTTCCATGTGGATTCCCTCTTAAAAATAAGTGACATGAAAAGAAAAGAGTCACTGTTACAAACCTTCTTGGCAAACCTTGGCACTGAGCAGGATTTGAAACAAACAAACCAAAGACAATAAACTTCTGCTCCTCTCTCCCTGCTTTTTGTTTTGTCTCYCTGCTGGACAAGGTCCCACCTCTCCCGCAGCTGCCACTGGCTCCCCACTGCCTGCCAGCCCCACTGGCATCGTGGCAACACCAGCACCAGAGCCAGGTTTTGGTGTGGGGTCGGACACTGGTCCCGTTGCTGAGCCAAAGCAGCCAGCCCGGACCTCGCGGGCTGCGTCCGGCAGAAGCAGCCAGTCCAGAGCCCAGGGGCTGGAGCCGTCCCTTCCCAAACAAGACMTTGGAATGGTGGATGCCTTGCAAGGTTCCCTCTCCCAGGACAATGCCTCCAGCTATGGCACCTTCAAAGGGTAAAAACTGGGTGGTGGGAAAAGCTATTTCTCCAGTCCTTGTGGGGATGGAAAATAGTATTCGTTTCCCTGCAGATGAACAAGGAAGATGTAGGAAGGTGTCTGTGTCTAGGGGGGAGGTGAGAGGSTGCTGAGATTTTGAGAAATAATCCTTTGGAGACTGCACATGACAGACAGAGACAAGGAGAAAATCCAAAAACCCTAAGAGCCCAATGCTGCATTGCTCAGCACAGTAGGGACTGGCCAGGTGGTGGAATAATGTGATAAAACCTATTGACTGTTACAACATTTTTCTAAAAGTGCATACAAATACTCAATGAAACAGTGAACTCAGCAGACCTATTTCTTTGTCTGCAGGGAAAAGGAGAAAAAAAGGATGCAAAACCATTATGAAATTTGGGCTTGAGGATGTCTGCTCAGAAGCCTTAGAAGTTTTGGGCTGTGTGAGCTTTCATGCAGCAGTTCATACTGTGGGTGAAAATGATGGGGATAGGAATCGACAATCAGGCATAATTAAAAATACAGCTTGTATGATCTGCCTTGACTGCATATGTCCCAAAACTGCTCTAAGGARCAGCAGTTCTTAGTGATGTGAGCCACAGGTGTCACTTGCTAACCCTGCCTTTTCTCTGTCCGTATTTCAGAGCAGGAAGCATTGCCCATRCTGCAACCCCATACTTGTGTTTGATGTGTACAGGTGACACAAAGGTAAGCACTGGGGTTGGGAAAAATAACTCCTCCAAGGACAGAAAGGTCTCAGAGAAGATGAGAGTAAAACCTCTCCACTGTGTCACACCACCAAGCAGCC